TTATACTTTGCTAGAATGATTGATCGAAGTCCGAGTTTATTCGATAGGGGTGTCAGGGAATTGGACACTGCATTTGCGGTTCGCTCGATTATCGGAGGCTGAGGCGGTAGGAATACCGATGACACTCGACGATGTGTTTTCACATGTAAACCATCAGCTGCACTCTTGTGACCATCGGAGCTCGGACTCGGGCCATCTGCTGCAGACATGATGGCTCAGAGAGGCAAGCGCGCAATACCAGTAACGAGTGTTCAAACCTGAACACAAATATTGACTCAACGTGAACAATTCATTGATAACATATGTCTTATGGCATGATATTAATCCAATTCGCTATCAGTTCAGTTCACATACTGAAGTGAGAGCATTTCAAAAAGCACTTGAATATCGTATGATTTGCACTGTTTTCGCTGATCAAATAAAATGATCGTGGATCGCTGCGAAATTATGCGCATAAAACACTGAAACAAGAGAACTTATTTTAATACATTGTGACACTAAAAGTACTGATTGTGAGATTTGTGATGATTTAAACGGCCGTTTTGATGTGGTGTTGATGGTAAACAGTGGTAAACAGTTTTATCAGTTGTTTACATCACTGCGCAATAGGTTTCGGTAGAAACGTTGGCGTGTGACGTTGACATTTGTTTGTACCAGCCAACGTGNTTAAACGGCCGTTTTGATGTGGTGTTGACTTTCCGGGTGATAAACAGTTTTATCAGTTGTTTACATCACTGCGCAATAGGCTTCGGTAGAAACGTTGGCGTGTGACGTTGACATTTGTTTGTACCAGCCAACGTGGAAGCGAATAAACATGCTTTTTGATTGGCTTATTTTTGGACGAAAACCTGACGGTTGAATCAAGAAACAGAGCAAAAACAAGCAATTTTAATTCGAAAGATGGAATTCACAAAATTTGGATGATTAGTTTGGGTTTGCTTGGAACATTATAAAGTTTGGAAGATTACTGCAGCACCACCGTAAATGTGTGCAAGAAACCTGGGTTAGGCTGAAGTAATATGCGTGATATACAAGCAAAGAACTTATACTGAGAATGTGCTATGGCATTCATTAAGATCAGAGCTATAATCTCTTGAGAAGTACTATTGTACATTTGAGGATAATGTAATTTCATCGAGTATATATCTCGTAACTCTGTTAATTCTGCACAACATGCGATCGTTATCTAACCATAAATAGATCAGATAAAAGCTGTGATCAAAGATGACTAACAAACAGATCAACTCTATCATTCTTATAGGATTTAAAAAGGATGAATCTTCTGATTAATAGGATTTGGCTCAATTGCATTCGAAGTGAATTGATCTTGAATGAATGCATGAGCAGTATCATTACTGAATCATTCATCTAGCGATGAAAAGCTATCTCAAAAGCATTTTTATTCCATTTCATACAAAGCAAATGCTATTTTGTACGAATGTGATCAATAAATGTATAATGTGATGCTGACGTCTCTACAAATGTAATGCATTAAGACTATTCTAAAGTTTCTAAGCTGCATTCATGGTATTCCATTTGTACAATATTTGTTTATTTACTCATATCTAACTTACAAATTTTCCCAATTATGTATCATGCACACAAACTGATCGAAAATTCCATGACACTCGAAGAAGAAGAGTAGAATAATGAATTGCTCATCGAAATAGATCAAATGGTAGCATTAAGTGACGAAGAAAGACAG